CGCTAAGCGGGATAGAGATTAAGTGAGGTTTTGCCCGCATTCTTGCCGTCGTTGTTAAGTTAGGACGACGGTTATTGAAATAAATCTGGCTTTACGTTGACTTTGCTGGTCAGAAGAAAGGGACCCCTCCGGGGGAGGCTGCGGCCATCATAAATAGGAACCAGTTGCTGGGTGTCTGCATTTGGATCCCGTGGGACGCTGCCAATGGTCATAAGTGTGAAAAACGGCCGTAAGTCTTACCAGTCTTCTCCTTTTTTCCCCCCCGTCAAAAGTGTCCCCTTTGGAGGGCTATGAAGGCACCGGTCTAGAACCGACCTGGAAATCCGTTCCAAGCTGGCTCTCGAAGCTTCGTCCCCTTGTTGAAAGACTGGTTTGCCTTCTTGTATTTCCACATTTTTGGCATTCTGGGGGACTCAAGAAAGAGTGAGTTTTAAAAGTCTTGTGGGGAGAGCAGAAGGGAGGAAGGAGGGAAAGTGGAAGAGAGAAAGGGAAGGAAGGGAGCAAGCAAGCAAGCTAGGAGGGAGGGAGGGAAGGAAGGAAGGAAGGAAAGAAGGAAGGAAGGAAGGAATCTAGAAGGCGGGATGGGTAGAGAAGGAAGGAAAGAATCTGGGAGGGAAGTGAGTAAGTGAGGTAGCTAGAAGGGAGGGAAGGAAGGAAGGAAGGAAAGAAGCAATCTAGAAGGGAGAGGGAGGGAAGGAAAGAAGGAATCTAGGAAGGAGGGAGGGAAGGAAGGAAGTTAGAAGGGAGGGAATGAAGGAAGGACAAAGGAAGGAAGGAAAGAAGGAAGGAAGGAAAGAAGGAAGGAAGGAATCTAGAAAGCAGGACAGGTAGAGAAGGAAGGAAAGAATCTGGGAGGGAGAGAGGGAAGTAAATAAGTGAGGAAGCTAGAAGTGAGGGAGGGAAGAACAAGGAAGGAAGGACAGGGAGGGAAGGAAGGAAGGAATCTAGAAGGCAGGATGGGTAGAGAAGGAATGAAAGAATCTGGGAGGGAAGTAAATAAGGGAGGAAACTAGAAGGGAGGGAAGGAAGGAAGGACAAGGAAGGAAGGACGGGGAGGGAAGGAAAGAAGGAAGCTGAGAGTGGAGGAAGGAAGGAAGGAATCTAGGAAAGAGGGAAGGAAGGAAGTTAGAAGGGAGGTAATGAAGGAAGGACGAAGGAAGGAAGGATAAGACAGAGAGGGAAGGAAGGAAGCGACCGATCCCCATGAAATGCCACATGTCTTTGCAGACCTGCAGAGCGTTTATGGTGAACCTGCCCTTCTGGGTTGGCGGTGCCCGGCTTGGCCGCTGACGAGGCTGCTCTCCTTCCCTCCACAGTGCTCCCTCTCCTCGGGGATCCTGAGAAGACGACAACGCCTGGAGAGGCCCCATCTGAGCTGCTGGCCAGGAAGCCCCTGAGCGGCCCCCTCCCTGCCCGCCCCCCGCCGGAGCCATGGCGGAGGGCCCTTCGCTCGCCCTGGCCGAGTGGCTCCGGACTCTCCGCCTGGACCAGTACAGCGAGGCCTTTGAGCAGAGCCAGCTGAGGTGCCTTCAGGACTGCCAGCCCCTGACCGACGAGAGCCTCCTCCGCCTCGGCGTCTTGCTGCCCGGCCATCGCAAGCGCATCCTCTCCGCGTTGGCGAAGGTCTTCGCCGAGTCGCCCGCCGGAGGTCCCCAGCTTCCCCCGAGGAGACCCATCCCCATGAAACGCCACATCTTCCGGACTTGCACGAGCGCCACTGCCTCCCAGGCGGAGCAAGAGCCCAAGCCGGACTTGGCAGGACCAAGTAGCAAGGGGCTGCCCACAGGATGGGGGTCCGAAGCCCCCGTTGGCCTCCCCCTTATTCCTCCCCCTATCCCTCCGAGGACCAGTTGCCACCCTCCCGTGAAGTTCTCCGCTTCCTTTCCGGACTTCCCTGCGGATGTTGGCTTGGACTCAGGACTGGACCCTTCCCCGCAGCCAGCTGGCGAGAGGCTCAGCCCCCTTTTTCTGGAGGAAGGGGCCAAGCCCGCTCTGGCCCCTCTGCCGCCGCTGCCCGCCAAGCGCCACCAGCTGGAAAGCAAGCCGCCCGTCCCGCTGCGCCCACCCACGCTGCCCCCCAGGGTGGTGCCCCAGAAAGCCAAGCCAAGGTAAGCTCACACCCATGTGCAACACGGGGGTGGGGTGGGGGAGTGTGTAAGCATGGGGGAGTATGTATTTTAGTATGCCAGGAAAGATAATCAAGCGACGAATCCGCGAACACTAAAGTCATAACCAAAAGTCGACGGGGGTTTGCCCAAAGCAGATCGTGCCAGACTAATCTTATTGCATTCTTTGACAAGGGGACAACATTAGTGGACCGGGAGGAATGCGGTCGATATGTTTTACTTGGGCTTCCGAAAGGCGTTTGACAAAGTAGACTATAACCTCCTAGTTGTTAAAATAGAAAAATGTGGATTAGGCAGCATCACTACCAGATGGATGCGTAACTGGCTGACCAACTGCACTCAGGGTGTACTGTGTCTCCCCGAAAATAAGATCCCGTCTGATATTTTTTGTGCCACCCAAAAAGGCACCAGGTCTTATTTTGGGGGAATGTCATCCATTGACTAACCTCACTTGTGTGCGTCGTCCCCGGCCTGCTTTTCGCTCTCCAAGGCCTTCAGGAACGTCGTCTTCTGCAGCTGGTAAGGCTTTCCTGAAGGCCTCTGCAGCTGATAACAGACCTCTGGATCGATCCAGAACTTTGTTCTCACCTCCAGAGGCCTTCAGGAAAGCCTGGCCAGCCTTGCCGACTGCAGAAGAAATGAGCCGGCAAGGCAGGTGTTGAGGTGTGCGAGGCCTGGCTACACCTGTCCAAAGGTAAGTAGTAGGGCGGCTCCACCTCTCCATCCCCACTGTGGCTTAATTTTTTACTCCTCTACTCTGGAGTGGGCAGGGTCTTAATTAGGGCTTGTTTTGGTGGTAGGGCTTATATTGGGCGCACCAGAGGTTCAGTAGATTCTGACCGGTTCTGGAGAACCGGTAGCAAAAATTTTGAGTAGTTCGGAGAACCGGCCAATCCCACCTCTGGCTGGAGATTTCACAGTCTCCTTCCCCTGCCACGCCCGCCAAGCCACGGTCAAAGAACCGGTAGTAAAAAAAATTTGAATCCCACCACTGGGGCGCCCATGTAAAAATCGAGCTAGGACTTACTTTCAGGGTAGGTTGTATTTTGGGGAAAACAGGTTAGTCCTTCATGGACTATGCAGTGGGGTACCCGAAGTCTCTGTTTTAGGCCCAGAACTCTTCAACATCTTCGTCAATGATTTGGGATGAGGGAATAGAGGGGAACTCATCAAATTTGCAGACGACGCCAAGCTAGCAGGAATAGCCAACACCCCAGAAGATAAAGGCTTAAGATACAGAAGGATATGGACAGAATTGAACCTTGGACCCCATCGAATTCAGCAGTGACACAAGTCAGGGTCTACCATTTAGGCAAGAAAAAACAAACGGCACAGGTACAGCACAGGTGTTACCTCCCTCCATAGTATGCAACGCGTCTCCAGGCAACAAGAGTTCTGCTAAAATAGGCTTTGCTTTCTGTCGGAAGGTGAGAAAAAGGAAGGTCACACGTGGATTATTTTGGTACGGTGTAAACTGATGCGTTAGGCACAATGCAGGTAGTCCTCGACATACCACCATAGCTGAGTCTGGAATGTCTGCTGTTAAGTGAGACAGTTGTTCAGCGAGTTTTGCCCCATTTCACGACCTTTTTTTAAAAATAGATTTTTATTGTGTTTTCCACCAGTACAACGCAAATCCTAATCACGTTTTCAACAGCATTTGACATCTACAAATATTATTATCTTATGGGTCTTAGTACATTTGATTTACACCTATCAGTAACCATTGTCTTTGTCAGTGATTAGTTCTATCTTATATTCTTATATATTTTACATATTTACACATTGCTTTCAGCCGTGTGCAGCAGCTGCCAAAAAAGCCAACACATTTCTAGGCTGCATAAACAGAGGGAGCGAATCAAGATCACGTGAGGTGTTAACACCACTTTATAAGGCCTTGAGAAGGCCACACTTGGAATATTTGCATCCAATTTTGGTCGTCACGATGCAAAAATAAAATAAAATGTTGAGAGTCTAGAAAGAGTGCAGAGAAGAGCAACCGGGATGATTAGGGGGTGTTGTGGTTCGCCAGCAGCAGCTGTGCACGGCTGAGGCCTTGGATGAGGGGCCTGCATGTGAGGCAGGGAGGGGGCCAGGACCATCAGGGAGCGGAGTGCGGCCTTCAGAGACTGTGGAGGCTGGAAGCAGTGAGGAAGAGGCCCCCGAGGAGCCTGTGCCCAGGGTGTGTGCACACAGGGCTGCTCGAAGGAAAGAGCAGCGGTACGGGAGACGCGGCAGTAAGGCTGCAAGAGTTAAAAGCCAGCTGAGAAACCGGAGTTCTTTGCAGGAAGCAAAGACGTTTGTGCACTCGAGCCTTGTGGACGTTTGGACTCTTTTAGTTTGTGTTTGGAGACTCTTTGTGTTTGGAATATTTCTTGGCCACTTTATCTCGTGTTCTTGGCAGCCTTGCACCACCTTGGCCAGGCTCCTCCTTATCAATGAGTTGGAAACAGCCTTTGAACCAGGAAGGAACGGAATTCGTAAAGAATCCTTAAAAGGTTTTGCTGTTACCTCCGTTTTGGGTTTGTTTCCTTGGAACCAGGTTTGGGTCAGAACATTAGGGGACCGGAGGCTGAAATATATGCAGGAAGTGGGCATGGCTAGCCCAGAGAAGGACGAAGGGATGACATGTTAGCAGCCTTTCAATGTTTGAGGGGCTGCCCCAAAGAAGAGGGAGTCAAGCTATGCTCCGAAGCCCCTGAAGGCAGGACAAGAAGCAATAAGGACGGAAACTAATCCAGGAGAGAAGCAACGTGGAAATTGAGGAGGAATTTCCCGATGATGAGGACGATTAACCGGTGGAACTGCTTGCCACTGGACGTTGTGGCTGCTCCATCCTTGGAGGCTTTTAAGGAGAGACTGGACAATCATTGGCCTGAAATGGTAGAGGGTCTCCTGCTTGAGTGGGGGTTGGGCTAGATGACCTCCAAGGTCCCTCCCAGCTCTGTTATTCTGAGATCTCCAATCAATCTTCTCTGCAATTCTTCCGCCAAAAATTCCGTGACCGTACCTGGACTTCTTCCAACCAAAGAGGCGGTGACTTGCCATCCAGGCAACTTGCTAACCAGTTATTCTGGCTCCTTAATCCACCTTCGCCTGACCTGAGATCCACCCCTGACTATCGTAATCACCAGGCGTGGCCAACCCACAACATTTTTTTTTTCCCCTCAAGCAGAAAACATTTGCAGAAGAAACTTTGTGGTTCTCTGGAAGGAAAGGGCTGCCTCGTGTCGTAATCACGAGTTGTTGGCCAACCGTTGCAAGGGAAAAGGGCCGGGCACGGAAGTTAAAAGCTTGGATGCCCAGAAGGGTCATCTAAGTCAGGGGTCTCCAATCTTGGCCACTTTAAGACTGGTAGACTTCAACTCCCAGAATTCTCCAGCCAGTCAGGAATGATAGAGTTGGAAGAGACCAGAAGGGTCATCTAAGTCAGGGGTCTCCAAACTTGGCCAC